AGACATATGAAAAAAAAAGGGGGGGGGGGAATAATAAGGAAAAAAATAACAAACAACAGTTTATATATATATAAATAAAAAAAAGAATGAAATTTTATTTAAAAAACCGGAAAAAAAAAGATATAATCTTTTCTTCAGCCCACACGATTATATCCGCAAACTTACTGTTTTTCTTAACTTTCTTCGTGTTTTCTTGTATTTATTTATGTATTATATGCTAAGTAGTTTTGAAACTTCTTAAGGGACCTTGAAAACTAATTTTTTAAATATTAATCCTACATTTATGAAATTTACAACATTTACTTATATCAAATTTAAAAATCTTTGCAAAAAATTTCATGCAGATTACTTCAGTAGTTATTTTGAACTTTTAAAATTTTAAATTAACGAAAAATTTGTTAAGTTCAAAACATCCCAAGCGCATGTAGTGTGATTATAAATGTCCACTTTTTTGTTGAGATACTAGTTTCATACCTATAAATAAAAGTTACCATCATTCATTAATTAAATATTTTGCATTATCTCAAAAAATTTAATTTTAATGAATTACACTAAAAAGTTTCAAAAATTCAATAAAAAATAAATATTTACAGCTAAAATATTTATTTCAGTAAGCTTTTGCACAAAAAAAACATGCTAACTTCCAATGGTATATATATAAGATATCTATTTATTAAGTTTTAACGCAAACAAGAAAAACTTGAGACGCATGGAACATTTTGAAAAAGTAAAATCACTGAAAATTTCATTTTGAGAAAAAACCATTTTTAATATTATATAATGTATAACATTTTATTCTAATACCTTTTAGCTCATAATATTGACATAAACAAACTTTCATGATTAGTTTTTAATTAAAAATTTTAAAAAAAAACGTTTTGAATATAATTTTACATCGACATAAAAGGAAGTATGTAAGCATATTATCTAAGCAATTGTTGCACAAAAGGATTTTTTTCGAAAATCCTCCGGAACAGTAAATAGGTCCTTCATGTTTTATTTATTTTTTATCATTAGAGAGTTTTTTTTAAATATTTCTTTGAGTTCTTTCCCAATTTAAGTTGCTGAGAAGATTTATTGTTGAAAAGATTGCCGCGTCTTTCAGCACCGAGTTGTGTCTAGACAGCATTTTGAGCACTCATTTTTATTGTTTCCACATAACCAAAATTGTACTTGATAACTGAAATGCTCTCTAACTTTAAAAATGTCCGTATCAATTTACGGTAATAAGTTCTAGCCCCCTGAGTGCAGCATTTATAAAATATATTATACCGTAAAATCCATAAAAGAATTACTGTACCATATAAAAATACCATAAAATTTCATGCTGCACTTTTTTACAGTAATATTTACTTAATTGCACCGGTTCAGTTACTTTACATTAAACATTATTGTACAAATTACTGCATATCAGATTTTTTGTTCAGTGAAATGTTACGTTAAAAATAGATTTTATGGTAAAAATTACCGTTATCCTGAGCGCCAGTACTTTAGACCAGAATTTCATTCATAATTTTTTACAGTTTAGGCTTTTTGCACACATATTATACTGATATTTTAAGTACATTTTGATCTCCTTAAAATATAATGAAAAATGTTGAAAGATGTAAAGGTTTTTTATACTTATTCAACATTAAAATGTTAGTAAAGAATAAACTAACTATCGGTGCAAATTTACGGTTTATGCATCAAAACTCTATGTACGACAGCAAAAGTTCTATTTAAAATTGACAAATTATATTTGGATGCATTTATTTTAGGGAACCATCCACATATTTTAATACACACGAACGTTTAAACTAAAATAATTCTCAACTTAGAAGTTTTCACTGCTTTACGTTTTTCTGCAGGGTACTGGAAATGAGTTTTTCACATGTTATCCAACACAAACGTAGTGAAGTTGAAGGGAAAAATTTGTAGAGAGTTACCCCAGGAGTTTAATGCTCGGGGAGTTAAAAGTAGAAAAACATTCATACACATAGAATGTTTCAAATATTTAAGTTGAAGCAGAAAATTTATATCATTCAAATTTACTGTAAAAATAATCACATTCTATTTTCATAAAAGAAAGACTGAAAAACTTGGAAAGAATTTCAATGTTTATATTTTAGCACACCCCTTATAAGCAAAAAAAAAAAAGTTTAAAAGAATAACTATTTTGGACAGTTTTAAACAAGTTTTTGATAGTGTATGTTTATAATACCCAAATGCATTGTATTGTTAAAATGAATGTATTTAAAGGATCAAAACATTTATTTTAAAAAATATATTTGTTTCAATATTTTAAATTTAAATTTTTCTTGATTAATACGTAAACAAAGAATATAATGAACTCAATATAAGAAATTAATTAATTAATAATTTTTAGATGTTAGGATATGTTTATTTTGCTAGTTAAAATGTTTGCATTAATACAAAAAAAGTTGCTTTTTTCTTTTTTTGAAATTTGAAATAAATTCTTAATGATGTGAATTTGCTTTATTTTTAACAATTAAGAATTTCATATTTGACAATTTGAATTGATTAGATTTTTAACGATTGCGAATTTAATTCTTAACATATTGAATATTTATTAATTCGAGTTTTCAGTAATTTTATTCTTTTGATTGTTTTGATTGATAGTTATAAAGGATGCTATTCATTCCGAAACAGCAATTGATGTTTAACAAATATGATAATTTTATCATTATGTTGTTACATTTGGCTGTCTGGAATTTCAATCCACAGAAATCAGGTAGGCCAATATTTCAAAAAGAAATAAAGAACAAATGGTAAAAAAAATTCATCAAGCACGCAATATAAACGTGAACAGATAAGTAAACATAACAAGATAAAAAGCAAACTTAAGTAAGCATAATTAAGAATTGTATTGAAAAAGAAGCAAAAAGCAGTGGGGAGCAGGTGATAGAGTGCTCATCTCCCAAGAGCTGACCCAGGTTCGAATCCTAGGGTTGGCTGGTCGATACGAATTCTGATCTCAACAAACGTAGTGAGGGCTGAAGGAAAAACTTCATAAAATTGACTGAATAATTTATAAACCACTCATAATTCATAAATTATGAGTGGTAGACGAATAATGTGTTGGAATCTCCATGTCATCGGGCAAGATTTTTCTCTCCGTGTAATATAACGCAGGTTAGATCCGTCATCCGTTCAGTCTAGTTTGACTCAATGATGAACCAGGAGTTCCCAAGTCTTAAATTGGGATCAGAAACTCCAAGGCTACTGAGTTGAACGCTGATAGTCGCAAACTCAGAACTGGATTGGCTGTATAAAATGACATAAAATAATAAAATATTAAAAACAAACAGGAATAAAAGACGGATATAGTTTGTTTAATAATAGTTCATAAAAGTCCTAACAGCCAATATAATTTGGAGATTCTGCCCAGTTTCGGAGGCTCTAAGTACATTAAAATTGAAAAAAAATTGCAAAGAGCACAAAACAAAATGCAAAAAAGCACTTTAAAAACTTAAATCCCTGCTCTAGTTTGCAAAACATCTCTCCAATAATCCAATGATAACGCAGTTTACTGTATCAGGGTTGCTGATTAATTCTTTTGAATACATGGATATTAAGAACCAACTAGATATTAATAATTTATGTAAGAATGACATGTTTGAGGTGGTTCTAACACTAAATAAGCATTTAGAATCTATTATCCCATAAAAACATTCTGATGTATTTTAACTTTAAAACACTGTTTATATTCATATTTTGCTGTTAAAACACACATAAGATGCTTTAAAATAGCTTCAATCTAAATAGGAGAAAAGCATCATAAATTATATTTCGCCTTAGACATCCGACTAGTATTTTGTATCAATATTTAATAACGCAATTATTTAGTCCTGAACGTGCTTTACTATAACTCATGCTTTTCTTTTTTTACAGTTGTTCTTCAAGAATATCAAGCTCATGTATATGATGAATACGTGATCCATGGCAACACTGCAGTATTCAAATGCCAAGTACCTGACTTTATAAAAGAATTTTTAACAGTGACTTCATGGACGAGAGATGATGGATTAGTTATAGTTCACCATAAAAACGCGGGTAAATGATTAATAATAATATCCCATTTTTGCTGTCTATTCATCTGTTAAATTCCTTTCTGCTGTGATATTTTTTATACCTTACAATAAATGTATTTTACCTCTTATTTCTTAAAAACTACGATACTACTGGAAGTTATATAGCGATTTTTTATGAAATGTTATATTATTATATTTGATCCTTCAAATGAGTACATCAGTAACTTAAATAATTCAATAATACTGCATAATTTTTTCTTATCAGTATCTTTATTTTGCGTACAAACGCTTTCCTCTGCTTTTTTGTATAAATTTAACTAAGTCCGGTGCAGGTGAATGCATGAAACCTATTTTTGGAGACATTTTTTTTTATTATTACTCAGTAAAAGCAATTTTGGGCCTAATCGGAAAGTCCAAACAAGTGCGACGTTTTCCTTGAGTTTATTTACCAATAAATGCAAAAATAATTTGCAATAAAAATGGGAAATAAATTTAAGTTAAACATAATTATTGTATACTAAATTGAGCATTATCCTTCGACAAGCCAGTCACCATTTGCAGATGTTAGGCAGTTTCATTGAAGTGTAGTATTTCTTTCAAACTGCGTTGAGAACTGTAATGATAGTCGTTAATAGTTCAAAGGTAATTAGCTTTTTGTAACATGGAAAAGGTGTGTTCCTTAAATTATTTGCGTTGTATTTTAAATTAAGTCTTTCCGAAGACTCCATATTTAGCCATTGAGAATTTTAATAAAAAAACAGTTTTTATGAAACTGATAAGTTTAAATTTCTAATTTTGTTTTAATTTTTATGACATTATAGATAATTATTAAAATAGTTCAATTCTTATTCTAATAACCATTTTTTGATCCATCTTTTTTTGTTTATTTTTTTTAAAATTTCTTTTAAATTCTTATTTTTTTATTTTTTGAATTTTAAATTTACTTTTTAAATTTATATTTGCAGCAATTAATTTGGATGACAAAAAAAACTCATTAAAATCTTTGCTGTTCAGGTAAAATTTTAAAATTCCCATTGATTAAAAATATTTCATTCACTAAAATTATGACAAAATTTCTATTAGAGCTAAAATTATTGCTTTAAACATTTATTTTTATTATGAAATTAAAGAACAGTGATGAAATAAGTGAAAAATAAATTGAAATTGGGACAGTATGTAACGAATAGGTCCATTCGCCTTATTTTCTCACAGAACTTTAAAAAGGATATTGTAATAAATTATAATTTGCTTTTAAATTTCAAATCCAATAAATGTAGAATGTCATACTATTGAGCAAGTTTCTTAATAATCATAACCGAAAATAATATATCTTATTTTTCTACTATTATAGCAGATGGATATTTATCATAAGCACCATTTTGACTTAAATTATTCCATTTTTCTGAAAAAAATTTAGTTCAGAAAATTTTTTACTGAATAAAAGAAATCTTCTATTATTGAGAAATATCTCTACCCTAATATCTCAGAAATGTTATCCCATATTTCACAAGAAGGTATTTTCACTAGCTTTTTTTGAGAAATTTACAAAAATGAGGAAAACTTTCACAGAGAAAGTGCTATTACGTAGCACATTATCTATTGCTGTTCTGGTATATCAAAATCTTGTAATTTTACTTTTTCAACTACTTTTTATTAGTGAAACGTCTCTGCTTTTCACAGAAGAATGCTAGACATATCACCAAAATACAAAATGTAACTTTATTTTCCCTTATTCATTATATAGTGACAAATCACAGTCATCCTATAATTTGTAAAGTCTTTTCACGGATGTCTTGTAAAAGACGCAGTTTTATTGGAACGAAAATCACAACTATGCTAAAAAATATATCATGCTTTCAAAAAAGAAGGAATTCCATGCCAAAGAATAAAGTTTTTGTAAATAATTCAGATTTATAAAAGCCTTCATTTAACTTTGATTCAAACGCATTATATATTGTTGACAAAACATTAATGCCATGGCCCTTTTTTTTTCATGGCCTTTTACAAGAACAAATACCTTCATTACATTTAAAAGTATTTGCTTTTTCACTTAAAAGTGGCATTACAATTTTAGTATAAAAATGAGATAAAAATTGCTTAAAAAAACAGACACCTTGAGAACTACTTGAGGGATTAAAAAATAAATCAACAAATTTATTTTAGATATTTTTATAAATTCAGATAATAATACATTACTTGACCCATACCCTATTAGCTTAAATGTTGATCTTAATTTGGGTTTATAATGGAGTATTATTTCATATATATTTTACAAATATTAGTAATTATCAGAAGTGAAATATTTGTATAATATTAATGAAATTAAATACTTGTATAATATGTCTGTATAATATTTGTATTGTTATTAACCTATGCTCATTAATTAATAAAAACGACCTATTGTTACTTTCATTATGCAAGCAATGTACAGTTTATCTTATATACAGAGCTAAAGTACGAATAAGATTTTATGCGATCAAAAAATTTGCTTCGATAGGAAGTGCATGTTTTACAGCAGTATTAAAGTACAAAAATTAAATTTTCTGTGAAGATATGAAATCTTGTGAGAAAGAGATAAATTCTGCGCACAAAATCAAACTACGCAAGAGGTAATTTTACTACCGATTTTACGCACGAGGTAATTCTACCACCGATCCTACCCTAGAGGTAATTTTACCACCGATTCTAATCAATACCCATTCTACCAATTCTACGCAAGAGGTAAATTCTACCACCATATGGGATTAATACACAACAGTCAGGCAAAAGAGTGCATACTTTTTTCTGTAGCAGCAAATTTTCCTCGGTACAAAATTTGTATCAAATATCTATTTTCTGGGACTGACCATTTTCCCTCCTCTGAAATATCGCTGTTAGTTGTAACATATAAAATCTGAATAAAAAAGCTAAGTGATTCAAATGATAAATTGAAATAAATTACATGAAAAATTTAATTAAAATAATAAATTTCAACGCGTTACCCTCGAGATATGATCAGAATTACAGATAGTCAAAACTCTAAACTTCACAGCTTTTCACCAATGATTGGACTCTCATGACGCGCTCATGAATGATAGGAGGAAAGACGCGTGGATGAATGAAACTCGTAACGAGCTCTAAGCGTCAAAAATTCGTGAAAAATCCAAGAATTTGTGAAAAAAGCAAGCTACTCATAAAAACTTGTCTTTATAAATTAACCTACAGGCTCAACGATGTTGGGATGTCTAAAGTACACGCCAGCTGTATGCTTTCCGTTGTTGGTTTGAAATGTTCGACGTATCAAAAGCTTTACTTTTGACAGTTAGTTAACAGTTAACTTTTACTTTACGGGGAAAAACAAAACATGAATTGTTGTTATAGAGGTAAGACAAACCTCAAAATTCCATGAGTTGACTCAAAATGTTATTAGGATTAAAAATAGTCTAAGCTACTCACATTTTCACCGATGAGTTGGCTCTCATAACGCGTGAATGGATGATAAGATGAAGGACTTGTGGATGAAGGGAAATAGCAACGAGATTTAAGAGTCAAAAAATATGTCACAAAGCCAAGAATTGAAAAACTAGAGTTCGTGTAAAACAAGAGTTTGCAGTTTCTATAATGAAACCCTCAGGCTCAACAACGTTGTGATGTCAAAAGTATACCCCAGCTCTATGTTTGCCTTTGTTTTAAACATTTAACGTCATATTGTCTTTGTTTAAAGCGGTTAGTTAACATATAATTTTTTTTACGAAAAAATAGATCCTTAATTATTTATTGAGATGTACAGTGCGCAAAAGAAAGGACCATCTTGAATAATTTTTGATCTAATGATCGGAATTGGACTCAATCTTAGATTCTCGACTAGTAATCTTAAATTTGCTGGAAAATATGGTCCTAATAGTTCGGTCAGGAGAGCGCTACAGAGTTTGGACCATTTAATGCTAGTTTTACTTTTTGCGTATTTCGCCATATCTGGAGAACTTTCTAAGTGAATTGAAAACTTTTTGCACACAATTATAAAATTCGTTATTCCAAAGATAATCCCATGCAAAAAATAACTTTTAGTAAATATTTATTATTTCTTGTTATTTTATTATGGTCGAAAGAATTTTGAAGTGAAAGGTTTAAATTTCTTAACAACATCTTTAGGAATATAATTTCAAATGGCAAAACACAAAACTTAAGGCTAATTGATCGAATATTCTTGAGAAATCGAATTTTTAAGTATCTGTTATTCTAATTTACATAGTAATTAATCAAAAGTTTTTATTTTGCGCACTGTATATGATAAAGAAAAGGATTGTAGTACTCTGAAACACAATATTTTACAAAGAATATAAATAAATATTTGCAAGAAAAATGAAATATATATTATAGTTTTTTTTTTAAAAATGTACTAAATCGCCAACTTGGTTATTTCAACAACTATTTAGTAAAACATTTTCTAAAGCAGTTTTGTATTTCAAAAATTTTAAACTATATATTTTTTGCTTAAATATTTTTAAAAAATTTCTAAGCCTTTGCGCTTTCTTATTAGCTTTTGAAGCATGAAAATATAGAAATATTTTATTTTGAACATAAAAACACGTTTCATTATTCTATTGATAGATTTTATTTTTCTGAAAAATATGAATCAAACTATATTTGACATTTAGAAAAATACAAATATTTTTCATCTTCTTTGAAACATTTGTAAGATTTCAGTTTGTTTGCTCAGTGTTTTCTGTTGTTATATAATAATTTTGTCATTGTCAAAACATCGATTTATAGGAAGGAAATAGAAAAAGTTTTTCACAAATGCTCCATAGAAAATGTGCAACTTTGTCAACAATATTTATTTTATCATTTACGCTCTTGTTTATTATATATTTTATTAGATACATGATGTTTTTAGTGAAAAAAGAAAAACCTACTTTATTTAGAGATTTTATGTAGTTTTTTGAAACTTTATCATACCATATAAATGGAGTTCATGCATTTTCGAGATAACATATTAGCAGATTTGATCGAAAAATTTGGTAAACAAATCTATTTTGACTA